TCTCTCTCTCTCTCTCTCTCTCTCTCTCTCCCTCTCTCTTTCACTCTTTGCATCAAGGAAAGAGCACCTCCCCTGGCTTTGGCCAAACTGTGAAGTGTTTGGCCACTCTCCTTCGAACTCCTTAGTGATGTTCGTTTCTCCTTTAGACTTTCTCCTTTGCTCACTCCTAAGTCCAAACTTGCATTGCCAAAGAATCCAGGGAGTCATTTACATGGTAGTATGAATAAGATTTGTCACCTGGCCACCTCTTCTGGGTATGCTGCCTTTCTAGCCGTTCTCTTAGAGAAAAATGAAAGAACAAAGGTAGAGGGGGCAAAGATTTGCCCCCTCTAAGGAATTTCAAGCATGGATAATGCTATTTGGCGAAGCGAAAGGAGCTGTCCCAGTATCCCTAGAGATTGTTCCTTCATTGCCTAGGCATGGCTGACTCTTATTTCTGCCTTCCTGGCTTATAAATGATATTTTTTCCTCAAAGGAAGATGTCTCTATTTTCTAATCTAACGAAAGTTCAAAGAGAGAGCCCAGTGCATGGAGGGAGGGGTGGCCCAGTGACCAGCACTGGTGACAGCTGTAGCCATCACCTAGAGGATGCCTGCCCCCCACTCGCTGAGAACATGCATTTCGGAGCAACTGAGCTGCTAGAAGCTCTTCAGGGAAGGGGACTCCTCAGTCACCCACCCATCCAACCCAAAAGAGCCCCAGGAATGTAGCTGCAGGGTTGGCTCCCTCCTGAGGCAGGTGTCTGTCCATCTCTCTGGGCTGTAGGCCAACAAGCTTCGTACAAAAACCCTGCGGAACACCCGGAACCCTGTCTGGAATGAGACTCTGGTCTACCACGGTATCACGGATGAGGACATGCAGAGGAAGACCCTCAGGTACCTGCTGGGTGGGTGGGCGGAGAGGCACCAAGGCGGGGCATACCGAGGCACGGGTGGCTCCCAGGGGCCGCTCTTTCAAACAGCTCTGTGTAGTATTTTCTTTCTTTTTCAATTCTACAAAAAAACAATATGTTATTTCCGGTAGAAACTCTTGGAAATGCTGATAACTAAGACTCTTAACAGCTTGGTGTCTGGACATCTGGGTTTTTTGTATTTATTGTATTTGTGTGTGTCTGTGTGTGTATATGTGCAAACCTTTCTTATAAATTGAGGGTTTACAAAAATGAACCATCCTATTAATTAGCCTGTCTTCCTTAGCAGTATATTGATACCATTTCATATTTTTCTATAATGCAGTATTAAATGCATTTTTAATTACATAAGTAATAAATGAATGCATTCTTCTTGCAAAAAACTATAGCGGAGGCAAATCTCCTTTTAAATGTCTGTCCCCTCCCTCAGCCTGGGCCTGCTTCCTCCTTCTGTGAGTGGATAAATAGTTATCCTGTTGTTTACAATGTAGGAACAACTAGGCTGCATGTATCTGGATCTTGCCTTCTTTCTTAACAATATGTCTTGGCGTTACAGCCATGAGAAATATCTAGCTAATATTTAAGGACTTCAGAGTATTCCACAGAATGGATCCATCATAGATTTTTTTTAAATGTCTTATGATTGTTATAAATATACAGAAAAGTACAGAACATAATAAAACAAATAACCATGAACTCATTACTCAGGTTTTTAAAAATAAAACTCAATATTTTCCTGTTTGTGCTTCAGCTCTATTTTTTTTCTAAAGAATAAGGTGCTACAGATGCAAGTTGTAGCTCCTTTTGGGTATTCCATCCCCCCTGCCTCCTCCCCTTCCCAGGGCTAAACGCCATACTGAGCTTTATGGGTATCATTCCCAAGCATGTCTTATACTTTAGTTATGTAATTATGCATCTATAAACGATATATGGCATTGTTTGACATGTTTCTAAATGTTATATAAATGTCTTACCAATCTATTCAGCCGTTTCCCTGTGGATGGACATTTAGGTTGTTTCCAGTTTTCTTACCACGAAGTTGCAGCAAGCGTCCTTCATGCTTCCTTGCCTTATGTAGGGGCTTTTCCTCAGGGTAGAAATCAAAGAGGACCATTTGCTGGATCATAGGATACTTTGTTGGTGGTGTTTTTTTTTTAAATTTTACAAGTCACACAAAGTGCTTTTCAAATGGGCTGTTCCAAGTACATTCCCACCAGCTGCAATATTATTTTAAGTAAACATTTGCATTGCAGTGTAACATCCATTTAGAAAAATGCACACATGAAAAGGGATAAATTGATGAGCAGATGGATGGATTTTCACACTGTTGAGCACACTGGAATTGGAGAACAGAACATTCTCAGACCACAGAAGCCCCCCACCGATGC